CGCCACTTAACATGTTATATCTGAATAATATATTATAACAACAAATAGAGCAATTTTTGCAAGCAATGCAGTAAGAGGATAAAATCGCATCTTTATTAGTTTCTACTTGATCATCAGTAGAATGTTCATTTTCGTTTAATTTTATAAAAGTTTCATTGACATTTTCCTTTAAAATATTCCATGACGACTTAAAATGTTGCAATTCTGAAATAATATTGTGTTGAGTAGCTACTGGATTAAACTGTATTAAAATACTGCTTAATTTTTGAAATGCGTTTTCAAAAATATTTAGTGATGGTCCCGTAAATTTTGGTCTAATGTGCTTTGAACTCTCTGTAAGATGACAGTCGAACTCTCCCCGGTTGCTCTCTCTCCCACCTTCCCTGATCTAGATCGAGGACGTGTGAATTTAGTCCGGGAATGCGACAATTAAATAGTCTTACACTCGTTCCTGTTTACGAAATAAATCGTCGATATATTAGCTTTAGCTCGACAACCAGTTTCCCATTGGAGAGGGTGGGGTCCCGGCCTCACACTACAAAATAGATTATTTTTAATTAAATCGTTTGGAATACAGAGAAATTATTATTGAATAACATTTTTTACTTGCCTAAAATAAAGGAAATAATATAAGTGTCCATTAAACTTGTTATGACTACAATCATTGCTTTGGTGGCTAGGTACAAAACTAATAAAGTGCATTTCTATAGTTTAGCGTTAAGATTCATAGGAGTGGTGAAAAGTTTCTAGCAATGTAAACAAATGACCAATTTTCTCTGTTTAGACTTTAGAAGGTATTTTGATTATTTTTCTCCTAGGATGCTTTCTGTTTGGGCCGAATCGAGCTAATGCAGTGTTTGACTCAGATCGGCCGAACTAATTTAACTTCGGATACGGGTAGCGCCGGGTAAAATGATACAGGCCTACACATATACCTATATTATACCTAAAAATTGAAATTTACCTTACTTAACAAAAAAAAAAATAAATGAATTTTTTAAAATTAAACTTAACCAAACGGTACGTTATGTACATATTTAGAAAAAAACGGCCCAAATTGTATACGGCCCATGTGGAATTTTCCACATTTTCCACATGGCCAGTCCGCCCCTGCTTTACTATAATGATTCTAACTTCGAATACTTCAGAGTTCGAACAAAAATTCGCCTCGCAGTTCGAACTGCGTTGGTTGCTTAAACATCTGCTAGCGGTTCGAGTCGTTTCTTGCTCTACGCTTTTATGTTTTCATTGTTTTTTTACTTAATTTTTGGTGTGTTTGGTTATATATGTTGTGTGTTATTCGTCGATGTTTAACAATTTCTTCCTGCAATTTTTCTTTGTCGTCAACTTCTGGGTGCCCCATACGTTTTGTATTTAGTTCGAAATTTCCCGAACGAAATGTTTAAACGTTCGAAATTTAGAAGCATCTTCTCCATACACGTTATGCTTTTTATCCGAAGACATTGCGACTTCAAACAAAATGTGAGTAAACTGTTTAAAATAAGCTTCTAACCTAAACATACAATCGACAGTTGAGGAGAAAGAAGTTATCGATCTCTTGCTTATATATTTATATTACACTGCATGTGTTTACGCTCCGTATCGCCATCTGCGTGTTGTTACTTGAATAATGTTCTTTCGTGTGAAGCACGTAAAAACATAATTCAACTAACAACTTAACTTCAAATTTATATATTTTTGAAGTCCATTATAACCACACCAATTTTGATAATATTGTAGGAGAAGGTGGTGCAAGATGGGGCCATGGGGTAAGACGAGGACGTCTGTTTATTCGTGGTTAACGCGCTTTCATCTAGCTGTTATTTGGCAAACTAAATGTCAACCTGAAAAGGGACTAGAGAACGTTTCTTTTTTATATAAGAAAAAACATTTATTGCATAAACAAATGCAGTATTTATTTACAATATATATTACTATATAACATAAAAAGCAATATTTAAATTTTAATGGCTAAGTTGTTGTTGTTTATTCATAATAATTCTATTATAACGAGGCTCTTTTTTTTGAAGGAGTCACGCGTAAGTCATCAGATGCATTTAAGCGATTTCTGGCTTTCGTTTTGATGTGCAAAAAGCTGTATTCAAGGTATGCAAAGACGTAGCAACTAGTTTCTGTACTGCAGGTGACAATGTTACTACATTAGCTGCATGTAGTGACGACTGATGACAGATAGATAGATAGAGATAGATAGATATTTTATTGTAACTTACTGGAGTACAGTAAATACTGGGTGCCACAAATGTATAACCCAGTTAGACATGGTACTAGATACATAGTAGTACATGGATATATAATATGAGTGAGATGATATAAAGTAAAAAAAAAATAATAAGAAGAAGAATAATAACAATAAAGAGAAAATTATTTAGAAATATATACAATGTAATGTAAGCAAGGAAAAAAAAAAAATGTAATATAAAATACATAATTAAAGTTTTGATATATAGGTACATGAAATACGGAGATTGCAAATACAAGTAAGCGTGGATGTGTAAATTTAACGCACAAAATCAAGAGGAATTAAGTGATTAAAGTAATAGAACATAATAGAGAAAAGTAATGATGTTTCAACGTTGCAGAAGACAGATGTAGGTGAATGGCCTGCAGCCATGTGAGGCTGTTAGATATAAGCAGTGACAGTGGTACGACCAAAGTAGTTGTTTATCAGCACAAGAAAAGCGAGGTAAGAGTCTTGGTGGTTGAAGAAGCTGTAGCACTCTCTAGGCCAGCTGTACCCGTGTGCTTCAATGGTGGACTTTAAATAGTGCCTCTCCAGCTCCAGCATGGGCCAGTCGAAGATGTAATGGAGATTGCTGTCACTAGTACCACAGAGGGAGCAGTTAGAGCTAGGGGCATTGACAAATCTAGCCAAGTATGACTGAAATCTACCATGGCCGGTGAGAAACTGGCTGTTGCGGTGACCTGGAATGTACCATTTATTAAGGAGAAAACTCTCAATGTTTGGGATGAATCTGTGTGTAACTGGGTGGTTATGATTGTCCCATTCCTGTTGCCAAGTCACAAGAAGGTCCTTCCATAGCAGGTTTTTGACAGTGTTGCTGTTAATTTTATTATAGGCGACTGGAAGGTTAGAGTCATCACTAGCAGATTTGGCCAAGGCATCAGCACGCTCGTTACCAAGCGTGCCCTGGTGAGCACGCGTCCAGTAGATGAAGAAAATATTGCAGGAATTGTTGATAGTGTCCTGTATATCTGTAGAGATGGGATGACAGGAATGGTTTTTTATGAGGGAGATTGAAGATGCACTGTCCGAGATGATGGCCACAGATTTGCCTGCAAAGTTGGAGACAGAGCAGGCCACAGCCGACCTGATGGCGAACATCTCGGCTTGGAGAACAGAACAATGATCGCCCAACCTGTGCTGACCAGAGGCGATTTCCTCATTGTTGTGGAAGGCAACAAAGGCACTGCCTACACTGAAATTTGCTTTGGATCCATCAGTAAAGATTTCTATATCCACATGATCAGGTTGGTAAAAGTTGATCTTATTAGGAGTGGCTGGATGTCTAGTTATAGCATACTGAATGTTGCATTCAAGATCCTGACTGTCGATAATTTGATTATTGATGCAGATAGCCTTACTCCACTTAAGATGCCAAAGCTTAGTGTTATAGTCAATTAGATGATTAATCGGTGCTTTCCTAGCCAAAATCTGGAGGGAGATGTTTGGGGTCGTTTTATAGGCTCTAGTTATGTGCATGAGGGCTCTTCTGTGGGCGGCAATCAATTTGCGTCTGATGTGCACTTTGCGCACAGCCCAACCCCAGCTGCCGCAGGCATAGATGGTAATAGGCACATAAATTTGATTATAAATAGTGTCCATAGCGTCGGTGGCCAGGCCCCAGCGTTTCCTTGCAATTCGGGCAAAAGCGTTGAAAATTTTCCCCGTGCACTCTGTTATGTACAGTACTTTGTGTGATCATTCCAAAGCAGCCGATGGTCTAAAATAACACCCAAGTATTTAATGTTCTTCTTACAAGTAATAGATTGTCCCATCCCATTTTAATGGTGGGGACTCTCCGGTACAAGTGTTGATGACCAGGCCAATTAAAGACGATGCATTTGGTTTTTGTTGGGTTGAAGTTGAGTTTGTTCTCCTTCCCCCAGANAATCTTAAAACACCAATCCTAACAAACTGTGCTAACACAGAAAACCACAGCTGTCTCCTAGCGCCTACGTCTTAACGTAAAAATCTGTTTTTCTTTGGATTGTCGAAATACTGATACTTTTTTTGATATGTGGAGAAACGCTATTAATATACTATAATAACAAATGGCGCCACCAAAATTTAAAATTTTGCTGAGAAAGTTGAGCAACTTGTTGCTGCTTTATTTTATTCACTGTCCTAATGCGAAAACTTCTGGTATTAAAACATTATCTATATTCTGCGCAGTGAAAAAGTAGACATGAGTCAATCTAAGCTGGATGGTGCGTTTCAGATGAAAGAGAGGGAAGGAGTCTCTTTTAATTGTTTTTTTTTCACATATATAAAATGTTTATATATCATCTTTATCATAATTTTATTGTTTTAGTTTATAAAAACAAAGTTTATTACTTACTGTTAATTCTAACGTTACTCACACTGTTAAACACGTGGTTTCTTTTATCTTTTTTGACATAGACCCTTTCAGTTCAGGCCAATTCTTGTCTACTGTTTCACTGCGCCGACTATAGTAATGTAATAGAAAATAATAAATTAGAGAAATTAGAAAATACTATAAGGAGTTAAAGAAATAATATAAAGGAATTACTTGGTGAATTAAAAGAAGTATTTATTCCATATGAATGAGTGAATTCTTAAGAGGAAATTTAAAGAGAAATTATCCCAAAAGATTTTTACATTTTTTGGACTTAGGACACCTTGAAATGTCGAGAAATGCAAAAAAAATCGGGGGTAATTTCTGTATGTATGGATGTTAGTGTGTGTGTCTGGCACGATTTTGTTCACCCTGTTTGAAGCTTAATTTGTTTATGGACTTCAACCCTTTTTATTCGCGCTGCTGCTTTGTCACCAAAGTTGTCGGCGTTATTTTATTTACGATGACTGTTACCGTTTTATGTAAAAACCTCACCTCCAGAAACCTCAAACCTAAAAGCCTGGAGAATACCTCTGAAAACGCTTGTAAGTTGTTAGGAGTTTCAAAAAAAGTGTAAACTTATTACAAACCTAATAGCAGTAATTAACTAATTACTACCGTACAATGGAGTGATGGAATAAGGCAATGCAGTGGGGCGATCTGCCAATGGTGAATGTCTCCCGGTAGGATTTTCAACTGGCCTCTAGCTGTTACAAACGCAAAGAAAACTCCACGAGGCCAGTTCGTTGGTGGGCTCGAACCCATGACAATTACCAGTATTCGGCTGTATTATCCACCGATGGCCGGATGGCCGAGCCGTCAAGGTGGCAGCCTACCGCTCTGGGGGACTCGGGATCGAATCCGGACGGGTCGAAGAATCCCCAGGAATTTTTCGGGAGGTGGTCCGTTCGGATATGTCGGGGCCCCACCGGTCGCCCCATTGTCGGCCTGGCCGAACCCATGATGGTCCTGCAATAAGAAGCACTCCTAGTACCCACAGGGCGAAAAGAGTAAAAAAAAGTATTATCCGCTCGGCATATAAAAATGTTCAAAATGAATCTTCCGTTTTGTCAATTACTACGAACACATTTGTACACTGTACAAAAGTTTATATATAAACTGAGCAACCTTATGATTTGTCCATTGATAGGGCCGGCTTGCGCATTAATCTGGATTTAAGTTCTTGCGTGAAGCCTCTATAATCTGTCTACAAAAAGAATCAACTTGAGAGCAACGTCATGTCTGATGACCCTTCGGTTAAACCAATCAACATATTCCCTAATGATGTCTGCACTTGATATGTCAGGCAATATGTATATTTTATTTTATTTTCTCTCCCTAGATGGCATAACAACTTTTCCGTTAATTATGTTAATATTTTATAGCATTCATACCAGAACGTGACGCTTTCATAATACTGTTTATAATGGTGATTACGTGTTTAACAAATGAAGAAAAACCGGAAGGGACGTGCCAGAACTAAGCGATCAATGACTGATGCTCATTAGTTAATACTCAAGTCTATTCTTTCCTTAGACTGATTATAGCGTGTAACAGAATGGCGTCTTAACATGACAATTTAAATTTACTTTAACCCCTAAATTTCTAACGTATTAGACACGTAAAGAAAACCGAGAAAAACTCCATGCTTCTGGCTTCAATCTACATTTTGTTGGAAATTTCTTCATTTTGTGTACAAATTTCGCCGAAATTTTCAGTAAATTTTTGATTTAGCACCGCCATTTGTTCGATTTGGCTCTAAAGTATAATATTACTTAAGAAGCGCTATATCGAGGTAAGACAATACACATATATTTACACAAATTGTTTTGTTTTGATGAGATAAGACAGCACATGGTCAATCTGCCAATGGTAAAGGTTTCCGTGGAGAACTTTCTATAAGAAATTGGCCCTTATTTAAGTGCTAGACATTAAACATTTGGAAAATTCTATGTAGCTACCATCATATAAATCTGTTGCCCTTCAACTTTAACCTAATGTAACCTGAAACCAATATGGCGTTAAGGAAAAAAATGAACGCATTGCCTTCCACCTTTATATTATTTATATCTTATTTAAAAAATTCTACACGTATGTTGCATTTGGAACCAAATTCATTCCTAGTGTAGTCAAATTTGAGGACCAGCGTTTGATCCCAAAATTTGACTATACCTGTGATATGCTTAAACATGTGAAACTCCCGAAAGACATTCCCTTCGCAGGTCGTCCCTGCACGCATTGCCTTATTCCATCACTTCAGTCTTGATTAATAACGAATTAAATCATCTTCACAGTATTGTCTCGAGAATTGTAACATTTCTTTTATCAGATAAACCTGCAAGGAGTTACTCAACTTTCCCAGTAAAATTTAAAATTTTGGTGACGCCATCTGTTATCATATTTTATTTATAAAATTTTATATTTTTTATTATTATAAAGTGGTAAAAATTTTAATTTTGAGGGTAGGGATGAGTTTTATAAAAAAATTGTAAATTGCTAATAACGAGTAAAATTGTCATTAAGTCCGACCCTACTGGAGACACACACGACTTCCATTATCTCCTCACACCTTCGTCCTTTATTCAACAAAATTTAACAGCATTGATCCCCCTAATAAACAAATCTCTCTGCAAAGTGTCAGAAATATCTGACAAAAACATAGGAGTTATTAAGCTTCAAAAAGGGGTGAACAAAATCGTACCCGTACACTTATACATTAACATCCATATATACAGAAAAAAACCCTGAACGTTTTTGCATTTCCCGACGTTTCAAGGTCCACTGAATCCAAAAATGTAAACATCTGGAGGTTCTTTTTGAACACTGGCTTTCCCACTGTGGGACTGCCAATATATGAGGAACTGGGAACGACATATCCAGAATGGACCACCCCGAAAAATTTCCGATTGTTGTCCACAATCCGGATTCGATTTCGGAGCATCCTGAGCGGCGAGCCTCCATATTAAGAGCTCAGCCATTCGGTCACCAGTTTTACATCTGTTGTAACGATGATGTGAAATTGCCGATTCGCGCTAAAACGGGGTATTTCCAGATCGTATGTGGGAGCGAATTATCCAGAGACAAATTTTACAGTTACATAATTGTGGTCCCGATTTACTGTTACAAAAGAATGCTTACAATATCAAAGATCTTCCGTTGTTTGGTGAAATAAAATTTCTTGGATCCTCTCCTTTCCATGGAAGGTGCCATCCCGCAGGTGATAATCTCCTGAAGTTTGTCCGGGGCGTTGTTGAGAGTTAAATACGAGAACTACTCTCTTTTTTTCTAGTTATATCAAACATTTCTTTATACGGGCATGAAATTTCCACGTCTTTATACTCTTATGTAATCATTTTATAAAATTGCTTTATAACTTCGCGTTGTTCCGAGTGTTTTCGGGTCCTCGCAAGGATATCATGAAAACTTTAAAAACAGCTTATAATTGAGAATAAATTTATGCCACACGTCTTGTATTAAACCTGACAGCCCAGGATTTCTAAATATTTTACGCAGAAAATTGAAACTAATGGAATTCAAAATTCAGATTCATTTCAGATTACTCAAAGAAAGAGAATGGAAAAGTTTTTATTTCATCAAAAATAGATCTGACATTTTTTATTCATCTAAAACAATAATTAAATTGTTGTATTTTCAATATTTTAACGACCAATTTATCATTTTAATATTTCGCTTCCACGATAAACTTTACAATACGTCTGACACAACCCGGATACCGATTAACAATAAATACCGATCGCTATAAAGTTATCATTGTCATTTAAACTTCCATAAATAAAATATAATATTTTATTTTTCAAAAATCTAAATTTTGACGAATTATAAGACTAAACGCCGATCGACGTCATTCGTGACGTCATTACAACAATGCAATATTTAAACAATTGTTAACAATGAAATTAAATCATTGTTTAACTCGTCCTCGTCGAATCTTCCTTCAACATTTTCCATTAATTAAACTCATTCAATTCTATGTTTTTTTTTTGAAAAGTTTAGAATAAAAAATAAGAAGAAATAAAGAAACAAAACCAAAACCCACAATAAAATTGAGAAATTCGAAAACTTCAAATAAAAACAGTTTCGAGGATTCGAAAATGACGGCAGCAAAGTATGAAAAAACTTGCTAAAAATTGGCAAATTCGAGAAAGATCAGAATACAATTAATAATGTGAGTCATTTTATTCTATTTTATAGTTTAAATAGAGTACTATCGCTACGAGATAGATAG